GCCAAATTCCTCGAGTCGAGTCGAGTTTTAACGTGTCAATCTAGTCTGATTCCATCGATGGAATTAACTAAATAGAGATATACACGTTTATTAATTTTGAAAGTAACTCGGTAAAGTATGAACCAGTTGGAATAAAATGCATCGACCGCATTCGTTAGGATGTCACGTTTAAAAATTGTGCAATTTACGATTGAAAATTTTATTTTATTTTGAGACAAGCGAGTGTCGGCGGTAAAAGATTACATCGATCATTGGAATCGGTGTCAATTGTGTAATTAGTCGCGTGTAAAGAAGGAAAGATGAATAATATTACCGCCTTAGCAGGATTAACATATTCTCTTTATCGATCCTTCGCCTCGAATTATTTGACGTTAAAAAAAAAAAAAAAGAATGGACAAAAACGACGTTGAATGTAAATTAATCGTCGGCGTACGGAACAATGAAACCGACAAAGTGATTGTAAAAAGAATGAAGAATAAAATCTGAAGTTATAAAATGTTACGAGAAACGTTAATGAGAATTTTTTTTTTCTTTTTATTTTTTTTTAAACGGCGATTTATACGACTCGTTTTAACGAGAGATTCAATATTATTTTTCATATATTGGGATATATTGGGATATGAACGAAGAGAGAGATTCCTCCTTGACACTTTTACATTTCATTAATTAACCATTCTCGTAAAATCACTTTACACAAGATGGTTAACGATCCTGTTCCCTTGTTAACGATCCTACTATTCCGCCATCCGATTTTATTGTTTGCCAACTCGTCAATTATCGCGACGAACGACAGTGTTGCAAATTGATTTTCTTTTCCATTATATATTCCCCTTTCTCCGCCCAGAGAAACGGATCGTTCGTCAAATCTGCTCGGTCGGTAAAATGAGATGTTCGGAACGTTATCGACGATGGCGTGAAAGGAAAAATAGCGACAGAAGGAAATCACGTCTCCGGTCAAGTAAACGCATCCTTCTAAATGTCACAACGCGCTCGATTATCCTTTCGAGCGAGGTCCTTTTCGCTTGATCTTGACTCCTCCTCCTCCACCAATAGTGTTCACGTATCGCACGTCACGTGACTCTTTCTATCGCTCTTTCTAATCTAAAAACCAACGATCGCTTTTCCTTCTTTCTCTTTTTCTTCGTTTTATCGGTTTAACCGTTTGGATAATTCTACGTATTATATTCGTAATAAACGTAACATTTACAATCGTAATTCGAGATACACACCTTTCGTTCTCGATATGCAGGATGCATATCGTCCTCGATTATAGTTCCTAGCCTCAAAGTTCAAATCAAATGCTCACCTGATATTTATTTATTTAACGTGTTACGAGATTTCTGCGCCCATAATCGATAATCTTTATCCATACATTCACGATTGATCGACGGTTCTGCGTTGCTTTTCTTTCTTTCTTTCAGATTTGTCAGATATCAGAAGGAACGTGCCGGGAGAGCCAGGCATCGATTATCCGGCATACACGACGCTTCCTCAGACGGGATTCACGTGCGAGGGACGATCACGAGGTGAATGGAATTATATTTATTCATTAACCACGTTCAATCTCCACCTTCTTTCCATCCATATATATACGCAAGCATTTTTTTTTAATTTTAAAATATAATTAAATATAATTACGGATGTTTGATGCGTCCTGAAAATATCACACACATGATTTAGATTTAATTAAAAATAAATTACGTGCGACGATATCGATGAAAATACGCAAATATTCGGCTCGGAGGTGGAAACGATGCGTCGAATCCGTCTATCGTACGATTGATTACCATTGTTACACGTGTTTCACGCCGTTCCACGCGCGGCATCGATGTCAAGGATCGTTCTCACGCGGCCGGGGGAGGCACGTGCAGCGATTCACTCGATGTTCGGTTTTGCAATAGGTCACAACTCAGCGATTCGGTGAAACTTGTCGCAGAAAAAAATCCCGCGAAAATGTTTGCCCGCGTACTTTCCACCTGGAAAGGCAAATATCTCGAAAGGTAACGTGTTTATCTTCGACTCGGCGGCCGAGTGCCTCGATGAATCTTCGTCCTCTTTTCTCTCGCGAAAACGAGCGAGTCGATTCGAATACAATGTTTCAAGAGATTCGACAAACGAATTGTTATACGAATCTGAATATCGGATAGAAAATTACGAGTAAAAATTGCGCTCGGTTCGTACTCGATTTTCTTCGAAACTAAGATTATCAAGATCTTATAACCTTAAAACATATTTACGCGTAGACGAAAAATCAAAGAGACGAAGATAATGGCCGCCTTTTCTGTATAAGCGTAAGACATAAGTGAAACTTATACTATCGTTCAGATTCTAGGAAATAATCCTCCCTTCTATCAAAAGTATCCAACGAATTTTGGCAAGGATCGATTGTCCAAGAAATATTTAAAGATACGCAGACGCTCATAGAGTTATTCGTATTAAGTGTGCAAATAAGTTGCTTCTCTTTTTCCTTCTAAATTCAAGATTTTATTACATAAATCAAGTACAAAGTTACTCAATTGTTTCCCAATTTTTCTGGATCGAATTTTCGTCGAGCGATTCCTTCGACTCGTCGTTATAGAACTTTCTCGATGCACCCGAACGATCGTCGTCTTCCAAATTAAAATTTCCGGCTTTAAATCTTCGCTATGACTTTTCGCATGTTCCGTAAGATACAGCGTTCTCTCCCAGTGCCGCGCACAAACCGTTTCAATAGCTTCAACAGTTGATCTCCTAAGCCAAAACGCAAAGAGTAAACAGCGACGCGAACCACGCTTCTCGTACGCCATTTCCCTTGAAATCGTCGCACAAGACTGAAAACTTTTAGAGCGCTCGTCGCGACTCCTCTTAAAAACAGAAGAACGCTGTTTCAGATGGCGCCACGAACAAGAAATAATTACTTATTTGCACGTAATATAATATATACGCATATATGTATATACATCGATTCCAGGGCAAAAATATAAATTCCTCTTTTAGAATAAATAACGATTTATTTTTCGCAATTTCGTCTTCACGTGAGAACAATAACGGTTTTGTCCACTTTGACGACGACGTATTATATTCGTATAAATGGGGTTGGGGAGATATTTGAACGAGTTTCAAAAGGCGGAGAAAAGTTGATGCTCGTAGTAGCGTAGTTACGCGCATAGTTTCTTCATTGTGCAATATATCTGCCGGCAACGTTGTGTACAGATTGTCAAGAGATCGGCGGAGAAACAACGTAATATCGGCGAAAGCGGGCAACCGACAATGGGATAAAAGGCCAGTAATCGGATAATTCGAACGAATCCCGGGACGAAGCGATCTATGTTCGCGAAGCTCGGCATTCTGTTATTCTTGGGATGAGTGCAAATCGTTCGACATTTTAGGGTCGGTGAAAAAAGTAATTGGATGGAATTTGAGTAGATCCTTAACTCGGACGAATTTAAAAAATTTCTCGTTTATTCTTCGAATATTCTATCATATTTTATTACAATGAAAAATGAACGAAAAAGTCTAATTTTTTAAAAAAAGAATTTTAAAAGATTTGCATCGATTCAACTCGATTCACAATCCGGTCGTATCCGAAAGTGAAAAAGAAGAAAAAAACATTGCTAGAAATTCGATCCATTTGATTCTCTTCAAAGCTAAGCTCCTCGTTTACTTTCAGCGTTCTGCCAACGTTCCAACCTGCCACGTATATCCCAGTTGATGGGAAAGTGATGATTTCACGAGCACGAAAATGAATCATTTCTCCATAATCTATCCTCGTCCGTTGAAGTTAAATTTTCTTCTATCTATATCTTTTCTTTATCCCCTTTAACAACAGATCGACCATTTCTCGTATCCTTTCATATCGACACGAATCGCGGCGAGCGTATTCGAATGAAATCGATCGAAATGTCCAAGTCCACTCCTCTCTTCGCGGAAGAAATCGGTCGCTATTAGATAATTCGAAAGGAGAGAAGAGGCGTATACGACGTGGAACGACTCCTCGTGTTCTTTACGTAACGAACGTAAACATCGCTCGTTCCATCGTTATTTTAATTAAAAACAGGGGAACGAAAGAACGCGTTCGGTCATAAAAAAAAAAGATTGACCAATTTTAACCGTTTGTACTCGTATATCGCCATCCTACGTTTTATCAT